TTGGTTTAATCAGTATCTGTGTCTTCTGCGTGCAGTGCAGTTTGCTAATGAGGACTTTTGCTGTGATTGAAGCTCAACTGTTTGACAGGGTCTAAGAACCTGCTACGTGGGGAGCATTAAGCTCTGCACAAGGCCATATTGCAGGCTTGTGTTTAGTTTGCACTCTCAGAAATAACGGTATCAGAGCTGTCACTGGAGCATTTGTACCTAAAGGGTCCTTATTGGTGCCTCAAGAACATAATAGAACCTAAAAGTACAGAAGTGTACCTTTTGGATTTTTTTTTGGTACTAATATGGACCATTTAGTTACAAATGTGCGCTTTTTAAAAAGATATGACTGTGACCACTCTCGTACCTTTATTCCTAAAATTGTATTAATCTTGGAGTGCTTGAGATTTTACAAGATCCTTGCATTTTCACAGCAAAACACAAGAGTTAAAGCAAATAATGCAATAAGTTTTAAGAAAAGCCATCACAAAATAAAACTGGGGGAACTGAATTAAATAAAGGTTGTAGCTAATTAGTTCTTCAGAAAAGAACATGAAACAAAATTATGGCTCAATTCTCTTTTTTTATCTCTTGCCTACCCCAACTCCAATTAAATAGGACGCAATTACTACAGTTACATGGTATAATACAAATCTATGCTTACTCTACCAGACAAAAGGCTTGTTGTCGATCCCAGTTGTAGAGCAACAAAAATAACCTGCCTTCTAGTTGATCATTTGGAAAAGTGGCGGAGGATAGATTGTTTCAATGAATCATCTGTTGAACTGCATCACAATCATCACATACTGCAGAAGACCTGTAGGAACCTAAATGGACCCAAGATTCTCATAGAATTCAGTCAACTTTAGTGAAGGAAAAATCATGGTTTGGGGTTACAATCAGTATGGGGGCATTTGAAAGATCTACAAAGTGAATGGCAACATCAACAGCCTGAGTTATTAAAAAAATGTGCTGCCCATTACATTACAAACCACAGGAGAGGGCCAATTCTTCAGCAGATTAGCACTCCTCCTCATACTTCAGCCTTCACATCAAAGTTCCTGAAAGTAACAAGGTCAAAAAACTCTAGGATTGGCCAGCCCAATCACCAAATATGAACATTATTGAGCATGTCTGTGGTAAGATGAGGGAGGAAGCATTTAAGATCCAAAGAATCTTGAACTCTGGGAGTCCTGCAAGGATGCTTTCTTTGGCATTCTAGATGACTAAGTTATGCAAAGATGTATGGATGCAGTCGTCCAAGCTCAGAGGAGTCATTCACAATCCAATGCACAATGACTTTATATTCTATACTGTACATTATATCTGTCAAGTGACAAAACTTTTGTCTAAGCTAAGTCAGTAAGCCAGTTCTGATACCAAATAATCAACTAGAAGTTGAGTTATTTTTTGTTGTTCCTAAAACTCGGATAGGTAACGAGACTTTTGTCAGGTAGTGTATGAGTACACTTCAAGAACTGTTCCTTTACTTTTTGTTCACATGTTAATGTTTTTTTTTTCCCCACTGATTATCACATTCCACTCAGATAAAGTAAATCATATTGTGAAAGCAAAATGGGTAAAAGCTATTTTAAGTTGACTAAGACTCTACATTATAAAGGGGCAAGAACAGTGTGCTTCCCAACACAAAGAGGCATTTAATATAAAGTTATGTAACGTATAAAGTTATATAAACCCCTCCCACATAACCTATATAGGTGTTTTTCTTCTGGACTCTTAAAGTCAGAAAAAAAATCCAAATCATTATCAATCTCAACCTCCTACTTCAAAGGTAATAAAGGAAACATTTTCTCATACTGCAGCAATGAGACACTTGAGCTGAGGTCACCTCTCTGTGATTCAATCTCCTGCAACCCACCCTTGATCTTTCTTTACATGGGAAATGGCGTATTAATTAGATGCCGGGGAAATGGGAGTGTAATGCTGTTGTAAAAAAGTAAACAAATAAGCCAGGGTGAAATTGGCAGTATTTATTCAGGCACTGTGTCTATTGATAGGGGAAAGGAAATTACACTTGGGAGAGAACCAGACTTGGGATATGCATCAGTAAAGCTCGGTAATGTGATTGTTTACTGTTAATCACTTCAGGGGTCATTTTTGAAGGCTGAAATGTTTCTTTCACAGGCTACGCATCAAGCTGAGGAAGGACAGTGTGATAATTTTGTAAGGAAGACAAAGTGGGAATTAAATCGGTGGGGAATCATTTGTTGCCTTTGCTTTTGTGGCCACACACTTATGGTGCCCTTGGAAAAAGGAGAAACGTGATTTCCTTTGGGGTTGATATGATGTTTCTTGTCTTATCCCAAAAGATTGCCGAGCCCCACTGCAACTTTTTTGACCCTAGATGGTACTTTTTTGACTTCTACATCTTGCTAATTGGCTGATGTTCTGCCCAAAGTCCCAGACTGAAAGTCAGATCAAAAGAGAGGTGCTTTAATATGTGAAGAAAGATCAGTAGTGCTCAGAACTGCAGACGATGAATCATCCATTTTAATTGATCTTTTGGCTAACCACATGGCTGTTGTTGTCGAAGCGTTGATGAACACCGCAGATATTGCGAGAATATTCCCAGAGGAGTTAACTAGGCAAGAGGTCAGGAATGGTTTAAAGCCTCTCTCTTGGGGATCGTGATAGATTAGAGAGTGTTACCTTGAGGCTCAGATGGATGTGTTCAATAAAGGAGATGGCAGCTTTGTGGATAGCTTGAAGCTTGGAAGTTAAATGCTGGCCTTTTGGCATACAATTCTGCATGCTCTTGCAGGAGACTTGTCAAATCTCAACCGTACTGTTTTGTTGTCCCGGTTGTATTCACTCTTGCTTTTGCCATCATTTCCTGTCATCAATTTCAGACCCAGTAAAAAGACGCATGTAAAGTCATGTGTAAGGGAATGCTTTGGTAAATCCCACAACCACAGACATTAGAGAGCAAGTGAAGGAGCTTTTTTGAAACATGATTTCTTTGCAAAAGAAGAAAACACCAAGGTAGCTATTCAAACCACATTTCAGATAAGGATCACTGCGGCTTGACAAGGTGACTTGCTTTGCTCTTTTTTCCGTAGTTTTAGTTACATCAACAGAACCAAATGATCAGAAGTATTTCATTTAATGTGTCTCCATTGAATATACTGGTCTTTCATAAGATTTTGAGGCTGTACATCAACGTTTACCTGGTGGGTGTTTTACTCCATGGCACCTTTGTGCCTTCCCAACATTGTTTTTTATGTTAATGATCTTTGTGCCTGATTTATACTTCTGTATCGAGTGATCGATTTAACCCACGCCGCATTCCTTGCACATGGCTTACACTGTTGTGAGCATTTACACTTCTGCTTGTGTTGCTCTGGTAACAACACTTTCAAAATGCTAGTAGGCAGTTTAGGCTAATAGGAAATGCATGCAATGCTACTGTAGATGTGGCTCAAACTTGCACTCATAAAGAGACCAGAACTAACGAACATTCAACAAATTTAATCGCAAAGTAAACACAAAACAAAAGTATTCATTTTCTGCATGACTTGACACTTAAACATTCATTTAAAAACTCATTTGACTTCCCTTGCTCTACTCCACAGGCTTTTGGTCCCACCCCACACTCATCACCACTACCATGCCGACTAATCACAGATCATGCGCTCATGACAAATAGGCAATTTTTTTTTTTGGGAGTTGTGCTTTAAGGTATGCAGTTAAGTAAAGGCTATGCCAGACAATCCATATGCACTCAATGCAGAAGTATAATTTTAATGGCCTTAAGTTGACTCCTAAATCATTGCCATTGGAAGTTTCGTTTCACCATACACTGAAGCTGCATCATAAATCACCTACTACTCTGTAGTTACTTTGTTTGATTTTGAATTTACTTCATGAGTGTTAGAAAAGTATGTTATATGTAACATACATGTAAGTAGTAAGAGAGAAACTCGGGCATACTACATCCATCATTTGTCATTATCTTGTGACTTACCTGCATCAGTTGCATCGCTTTACTCTCTTTCATGAATTCTCTCTGGTGGCATCATGGGATAACGTTGCATCTTTGAAGATGTGAAGATGCGCAATTCAGATTTTTGCCAGAAGTACTAGGTCATCTGGGCATTTCTTGTGTGCTTTTTTTCCAAATTCTATAAATTTGGACATACCACTATAATCACAAACTGTTTATAATGTAATATATAGTATGAACGTATGCAATATTTGACACAGCATTTGTCTCCCCAATCTGAAATCCAGAATAAACACATGAATCTTTTGACCCTTACTTGTTTCTCTCCGTTTGGGCCTCTTAATGTTCTATTGAGCCAGCCGTCTTTAGCAACTCTGATTTACCATCATAACCTTTTACCTTACGGTTGCCGTCAGCACTTTCTAAACATTTTCTCTTTGTTTATGTCCGTCCGTCACTGTCTCAGACTTCACTCTCTGTCATTCAGCACTTCTCTGTTGAATTGAGCTGCTTTGGGACGGGCTCCTGGGGCACCAAAGAGACTAAACAAAGTAGTAATGTGATGGAAGCACCCCTGACGCTGACAGTTCTTATACCGAGAGCAGTCACTCACTCTAGTGTAGTGGCCTGACCTCAATGTCTAAGTGATGGACGGCAACCTTTACTAAGGTTAACCTCTTGCTATTCATTGGCATTGTGTCAATATTAGTGGTTTGTGGGGGGTTTCTGGGAACGTCCTCTTTGTTTGGTCTGTCTCAGATTAAGATACTCTCTCAAATCTCTATCAATGCATTTAAAGTGGATCGATAATAAATCTGAAGGTCAGCTTGGTGCAGATTGATCGCAATATTTATACATGTCAGATTATAATAGAGGTCAAAGTTGGTTAAAGGTCAATTTATCGAAGTTAATTCGATGAAGGTTCTTCCCTGTAAACAATGCAGTTATTAAGCAGTGCTGCATTGCTACATAAGCTGTTTGCTTTTCATTTCAAAGTAGTGGCTCCCCTGTGACACATTCAAACTCTCATTTTCTCTTCTTTTCACAGCTTAAGGGCAACATACAGAACCTGAACATCCATATAAGTCATGATGCCAACGAGTAAGTACCTCCCTCTTACTTTGACCATTGTATTAACGCTGACCTTTCAGCTTTATCTATTCATGCCAGGTGTTCAGTGTCGAAATGTTGTTTGTTTTAGTGTTATGAAATGTGTTTTTCTCAGTTAGCTTGCATTTTATTTCAGTTAACAAATTGTTTGCATTTCATTTTAATGTTTGTGTTTAATTTTTAATCCTAATAGATTTGCCCCCTTGTGGTCAACAGCATATCTTTTGCAGTTCCGTTTTTACTTAGTTGTTTTATTGCTTAGTTTTGTGGCTTAACAATATTGTCAAAATATGATGTGCAATTATGAACCATCATTATAATATAACAGAAAACATGTATCTTTGCTCTGTTTTAATCTTTCTTGTTCAGTGCATTCAATGTCATTGCACCCAGGAAACCCTAAACAATTAAATGAGAGCCCTTAAACAGCTAATTTAACTAAAACCAGGAATATTCAGATGCAGCAACTGTGACACACAAGTGTTTTGATGCCGATCTGGCTCTGTCAGTGGACGACCAGAATTCATTATCATAAACAGAACCCCTGGAGGTTATGAAAGAAGCAGAAAGTCCCTCGGTTGAGAAGAGTGGCATTTTGTGTTGAAATGTCATCGCTGCAGATCCTGTATGTCATTTACTGAAAGGAGGGCTACACAGAATGAACAATGAATTAACATCAGCACTCCTATTATCATCAGTTGACATGTATTTGTATCACAGACTATGTATATTTGGCTTCATTTGATTTACGCTTTTTTTCTACACATAGCAGTTTTTGCATCCCTTTAAGCCTCACAGCAAGCAATTTCTGTTTGTGCCAGCAGTCTCTTTGCTTATTCGGCTCTATCTCCAACATTTTCAGCCATAAACAAATGCACCGTCATCCAACACTTTACCATATGTTCCTAAGTCAACATCATCTTTTATTAAACAAACAGTTCTGCGCTTCCCATCGAAACCCCAAATGTTCAATCCGTACGCAAGCACCTGCTGTTTTAGTACCATCACCTCATTTCACAGTTTCAATCTTTATAGAGCTTAAGTCTTAGCTAATACCTCTCCGATGGGAACTATCTTGCTGACCTTCCCCCTAAAAGCCGCAAGGACATGATTAAAAACCACTTACAATGGGCCTCACTTGTGCTTTCCTATCGCTGCCTGTGATAGACCATCATGCCAGGACTGACTGTCACAAGAATTGCATTAGCAGAAGCCGGGGGTGTCGAAAAGGGGTCTCCCATCTCTCGAATATAGCTAAGAGCGTTCACGGCTAGACTGACAGCCGCCACTGTGATTGTACATTCCTCTCAGGCTTTAAGAATTGGTCTTGGGTGACCAAGTTCTTCAGATATGTACTGTTGATGCCAATGTACCAAATGTCAGCCACACTTCTAGGTGTTGAAAGAAGTCTCAAGCCAATCTAACAAGAGCACTCTCAATTGCCAGAGGACAGTTTCTTGCTAGAAGACCAGCTTGAAGTGAAGATCCAAAGAGTTTTACACTCAAGCAGAACAGATCACAGACAGATTCAAAGATTTTTCATGGACTCTAATTAGAGACTGAATAGACCCTCATTAATGAGCAGACCTGAATAAATGATGAAATTATGAAGGTGGCAGTAGCTCCCTTGTGGCCAGTGACCTAAAGCCCTCTCTCAATTCCTAGATTTTTTTTCAGCAGCGTCACATAGAGACTGTAAAAAAAAGTTTCTTAATAGAGCCATATCACCCTGCAGCTCAAGAATAGTTACTCACTGAAGCTAAGCAAGGCTGAGCCTGGTCAGTACCTGTATAAAAGTCCACATGGGAAAACTAGATTGCTGTTGAAAGTAGTGTTAGTGCGGCCAGCAGAGTCCTAATGTGCCAGTGAAGTGAAGGGGACACTATACTGTCAGTGAGTGACGTCTTTCAGATAAGACTTTAAACCGAGGTCCTGACTCACTGTGGTCATACAAATCCAAAAGCACTTCTCTTTAGGAGTAGGGGTGTAACCCTGGTGTCCTGGCCAAATTCCCTCTATTGGCCTTTACCCATCATGGCCTTCCAATCATAACCATCCACCGAATTGGCTCCTTCACTGTCTCGCCATTCGCACCTATAGCTTGTTTATGTTGAGCACACTGGTGCCGTTGTCCTGTGGCTGCTGTCACACCATCCAAGTGGGTGCTGGACAGTGGACAGACCCCCCTCATGATTGATTTTGGTGTATGGCCATACATGATAAATGTGCTTTATAATACACATTACTTTACATTTACAATGATAGTTTCACTAGTCACCTTAACTGATACACCCAACTAATGTTGAGTTAAAACCCTTTTTGCTGTCTCAAGAACATGAACAATACTAGGGTTGGCTGGGTTTAGCTTATCAAGGATTAGCTTAATTCTTAATTCAGTAAAGGCAACTTCCCAAGAAGAAATGGATTCCCCGTTCCATGTATGAACTGTTGAGATGCTTAGACATGTGTTTTAGATCCTGGAGTGCTAAACCATTAATGCTAATAAACCACCTACCTCTGATTGATTCATGATCCAACAGAAGAATGGTGAAGTCCTGAGCCACTCGATCACTCAAGAAAACTCTAAGAATATTTCTGACCTACTTTCTGTGTGATCTGAATTTCTCCATTTGAATTTTACAATATTGAATTTCTTCATCTTGAACACTTGAATTCGTATTTGTCCAAACTGGATGACTGGACTTTTATTAAATAACACTTGTCAATAATTTTAATTTCAAATTCAAATATTTTTTTTTTCATTTTGTTAGCTCCATGCATACAAAAAATGTTGTTGAACCAAGTCACGTACCCTGGGAGAAGTAGCAAAGTAGATGAAAAGTGAGAGGGCAGACCAGGACAGAGCCAGGTCAGGACTTAAACTCAGTTCATCCTAAAGCACATCTGCTCTACCTGTACAAGCTCTGTCCTCTGCCTTTATATGGGCATTAAATGTACCATATGTTTATCTGAAATATGTTGTTGTCCGAGCCACACTGAGACATTGGACTTGGTATTGTCATGTGCATATCCCATGTCTGACCTAGAGTTTCAAGTAAAAATAGTTTTAAAAATGTATTAACCTGAGGAAGCATCTTCAGTCATGAGTACAGAGTTCTTAAAGCAACATGTTTCACAAATAGTCTGATTTAGCAATTCAGTGTTAAAGAGTTGAGTTTTACCATTTTTTAATCCATTCAGCTGATCTCCTAGTCTGGCAAGAGCACTTTTAACATAGCATAGTTTAAATCATTAAATAAAATTGGAGCATAGAAAGGCTGCTATTTTCTAGGCTAGTATTTGAATCCCTCGAGTTGGAATATCTGAACTTCAGCAGATATTCGCGCCGCAGTAAACAATCAGGAGCTTGCTCTTGTAGGGGAGTGAATAGGGTGTAGTGCCTATTGTTGGTGTTCCGAGGGGAAATCTTCTTGCCAACACTGGACAGCAGTTCATCAAACTGGGCTCAGCTCAGTTTGAAGCACCGCTGAAAGCCTCCATCATCCAGGTATAGTGTCTGGAGGAGTTGATGAACTCAGAGAGCTGGGTGCACCTCTGAAGGGATGTTGTGGACACGGAAATGACGCTGAATGAATCTACACTGTTTTTCAACCTTCATAAACCACAGCTACTATCGCAATAAAATTCATGTTAGCCATTTAGCAATGAAGCTAAAGTCACCGGGCAGACTGAAGCCCTTCCCGGTATGTGAATACGCGACTATTGTGAAGCGAATTTGACGTGTGAGTAAACTCAATGTTTGTGCGTATATTTATGCGCGAATAGACTGTTTTATTTTGTTTTCCGTGTCTGGTGTGAACACAGCATGATGATAAAGGATCTTTGTTGCGTTACCATGGCTGGAGCAGGTACAGTCAGGGCCGGAGCAAGCTAAACGGCCGCTCTAGGCAGAGGACGATCACGCCGCCCTCAACCCCAATGTGAAAACGAAAGTGACCGGTTATGAAAATGAAGTGACGTGTCACGGAACTCTATTCTGCCGCCCTATGCGTGGATGTAACTGACGACGCGCGGGTGCTGAGGGAGGTGTCGCGGACGCCGCCCTCTCTATTCTGCCGTCCTATAGGCGGATATAACTGAGGACGCGTGGGTGTCGTGGACCTCTATTCTGTCGCCCTATGCACGGATATAACTGAGGATGCGTGGGTGTCGTGGACCTCTATTCTGTCACCCTATGCGCGGATAAAACTGAGGACACGCGTGTGCTGATGGAGGTATCGCTGATGCCGCCCTCTCTATTCTGTCAACTATATGCGCGAATATAACTGAGAACGCAGGTGGTGAGGGAGGTGTCGCGGACATAATTGAGGATGCGTGTGGTAAGGGAGATGTCGCGAACACTGCCCTCTCTATACTGCCACCCTGGACGGCCGCCTAGGTCGCCTCTATGGACGCGCTGGCCCTGGGTACAGTGATATTACAAGACACCTGAAAATAGTCCCCAGCTAGGTAACTAGTGATAAAAGCTCTGTTTAATATCATTGCCCCTGCTGAAGCTATGGTACTGCAGCAAAGTTCCTTTATTATTATGCCTGTATAAGATTATTCTATACTTATCAACCTAGAACATAGCAACTTTTTATTCTTTGTTGGTCTTAGTACATGATAGTAACTTAGTAAATACGATAGTAACTTTGTAACTACAGAGAATAGTCAAGCTTTAAATAGGAAAATTATCAAGACTATTTTTTAATAGTCTCATCCGATTCAATTATCTATGCTAAGCTAAAAAGTGCTTCGGTCTGACTTGGAGATCTGCTGAATGGATTAAAGCAACTCTAGGGGATTTGTAAAATGAGTCTATTTCCAAAAAAAAAATGCTCGTTCCTTTAAGATTTCACACATGAACCACACTACTTTATTTTAACCCTACTAGGCTAAGGAGAGTGATTTATGTCAATAATACACATGATGACATTTGAGGAGATCTGACCTTAAGTATCACTGTTTTAAGTCTTAACTGCTTTATATAGAGCAGTGAAATGAAATATCTCCAACCATAATAAGCACACACATTACCCTACCGGTACAACAGGTACTATGTGTTCATTGCGTGTCTTTCAGGATAATTAAGACTGACCTACCTGTTCAGTGATGTATGGCTCCTGGAGTTACAGGTGTATGTACAGCCCAGTGAGAGGACGATGACGCTGACCTTAATTACCCTTGTGTGCTTCATACCAACACTGAGCTTGTTCCTCTTGTGCTTTATTTAGGAAACCAGACAGCATGAAGCAGAAGAATGCCTTCCCGCCTAACTTTATCCACTCTCTGGACTCCACTCATATGATGCTAACTTCACTGCATTGCCACAGGTGAAGCTCTGTGGTTTATAGGTTACTGTGTCTTTGAAGCAAGAGCACAGGTGTCAAATCCAGCTTTAACCCTAATTAAACACACCTGATCAAACGAATTGAGTCATTGATTGATACCTACAGGTAAGTGTGTTAAAGCAAGGTTGGAACTAAAGTGTGCAGAGCTTTGGCCCTCAAGGAAACGGATTTGACACCTGTGACCTAGAGTGACTGTGTTTTAGACTGTTTAGCAAGAAATAACCAATCACATTCTAAAAGGTGGTTGTCTTATTTAATATTCATGACCTTTTTACATTTACTAATTGGACAAGTGAGATGCTGCTGTTTGTTTTTGCTTTGTCACATAAATATGCAAACAAGTTTAACCTGAATACCTAAATGTAATGGGTTAAGAGTGAACAGTATTACTTTTTTTTTTTTGACTGTTGTGATTGATTTTCACCATTTTAAAAATCTTTGTTTGCATTTATTTGAATAAATAGGCTAAAAATAAAGCACTTAAATGGAAATGTTACAAACACTTACCTCAATTAATAATGCACATATAATGATAATATTATGAATAATAATAAATATTGATGATTAATTTGAATCAATATTAATATTATTTTTTGCAATAATAATAGTAATAATATTATTTATTTTTATTTTCATATTATTATAATAAATAATTAATGACATTTAATTCTAAATTATAATATTAAAACAAAATATTAATATATTCAGTAGTTGATAATAATAATTTTGAATAATTATTACAATTTATAATTCAATATATTTAAAATAATTTAATTATTTTTATATTTTTAAAGAAAAACTAAATTATCTAGAACAATAATAGTGACTAATGATTTCTACATATATTTAGTAATAATAAATATTGTAATATTAATAATAAAAGTATGATTATTAATAGATTTAGTTTGTTTATGCATATATTTAATATATAAACTAAAATATTAACAGCAATATTCATTATTTTTAAGACTATTATTCTTATTAATTTTAGATTTGTTTATTGATATTAACAATATATTATTATTCTTTTAATGTGGTTTGTACAATTTCTTCTCTTTTGTTGAACCCCCCAGGGCTGGCCTCACGTTTGTGTCCGTCCATGACTGTTATTGGACACATGCAGTGACAGTAGACATCATGAATCGGGTATGTAAAGAACAGAGTGTTCTCTGAACTATGTTATCAATGTGTTTTCTCCAACACCAATGGCTGAGTGGCCCAAACATGTCAGCTTTTAACGGCCAGATGTTTGCGTGCTGAGTTCACCATATGTTCAATAACCATTCCTGTCAGCATGGGTTATTTCAGAGCTGAATGGCCGGAACTGCAGTATCTTTTTGGAAAGTTGCCATTAACTAAACTTGCCTACAAGCTTTTTTTAGATTTTATGATCCAGATGTTTCACAATTAACCTATCAGTGAGCCTAAAACAGAACTTCTTGTCCTCCATCCAACTCTTTTGCTGATGTTTATGCTATAAGCCTCAGTCAGATTTTGACACAAATTTTTCATGATTTCGGCATGTTTTTCTTGACGTATGGTGTCGTAGGGATACGCAAACAACAATTGGGCATTGTGACTCAAGATTCAATCGTTTCATCTCGTGCAATGTGGCATAGTTTATAACAGTAAAGATAGTAACGATACCATGCATGTGACCAGTGGCAGTTCTAGACCAGAGTTACTGGGGGGGCCAGGCAGGGGCCACTTGTATTTTTAGGGTGCACACATTAACATGCATCGCAAACTATTAAAACAATTATTCAAAGTCATTTTTTTCATGTATCATTCTGCAGTTTTCGTAAACAAGCTAATTAAATAACTTAAACTCAAAATAATCTTCCATGTTAATTTATTTGACAAGTATATTTGTATTGTAGTAGAATTACACATTTTTAACATTCAAGTACATCAAGGCTCATTTTTGCACCTGTAAATTTTAACACATAAAGGTGGAGTACATTTTTTTTGCCCTCCCATTAATTTTAAATAATGCTTTGCAAGTGATCTTTAACAAACCAAAGATCTTTTCATAGTATCTCCTGTAAAACAAAAAAATATTCTGGAGTTATATTAAGTCTTATTTCTTATAGTTTATTTCTTGTTAATTTTTTTTTTTTACAATTTTAAAGTCAGTATTATAAGCCTCCTAAAGAAATATTTACTGTATATTTTTTGATTGTCTACTCAACAAACCAGTTATACAATAACTTGACGAATTATTCCAACTTCCCTGGTTTACATAACTTACTTAAGTCTTTAAATTACACTTTAATCTGAATAAAAGACTATAGAATACTTAAAGGGATTTTGTCTGAATACAACTATCTTGCAAAATAACTAGTCAAATATTATACACTCACTGTCACCATGTGAAAGAAATAAAAGTAGTTTTAAAATATTCAAAAAGTAGGAATTAGATTAAACTTTTATGTTTAAAAGCTTGTTGTAACAAATCGTGTTGATGACTCGTGCTTTATGTCACTACTGAAATCAAAACTGATGAAGGCAAACTTAAACAAGTTGAATATTACTTTAACATGTTTGATGCATGTTTTTCCCCGCAATGCTGCCATTGCCGACAGAGCAAAGCTTTTTGTGTGCAGCAAACGTTTTTGTTGGGAGAGCAGTACGAGTATGGCAGAGAATGGCGGACCTTGTCTTTTATCAGGAGTTAGTTCACATTTAGACTCATCGCCGTGTGCTGTGTTTGCCTAAATACTCTAGATTACCAGCAGGGCTAATGGTTAAAATAGACAGGGCAAGAGACCTGCTGCACCCGGGAATTGAGGGAAAAGTCCTCATTTAGTGTTTATATAAACACGATTATCTTTACAACTGTATAAATTGTGGTTGTGTGTGTATATGAAATTACAAATAACAAATGTAACAGGGCATTAAATTACTGTTTATTTCTTTGCATTTTAACTTTGTGAATATAAAATCATGCGCCTCCTCATGGTTTGTGTCTCATTTTGTGAGCTAACTGACAACAGTTGTTCGCTCCCCTCCTTCTCCCCTGCTCAACTGGCCACACCCACTCTTGCCCTTTGTTCGCAGAGCTTCACGCCCGTTATTATGCATCTTTAGATTTTTTAAAATTCTGAGTTAGACTTGAACCGAAAGTGGGGGGTGTCATGGCCCTTTAAATGATTTATGTTGGGACAGAACCTTTTCGTTTGCTGTTCCTTGCTGATGGAACGATCTTCCCAATCCCATATGGACTGCTAAATTTAAACAAAAAAACACAAAATAAGCAAACAAACCGATCTTTCCACTGAAATAAACATTTCCTTGGTTCTTCTATGTCCAAAATATATGAAAAAATCATCTTGGTTTTAGCAGATCTATTTGTTTGTCCAAGTTAGCAACAGGAACCAAGTGGGGCAAGATTATCGATAGGTTGATTTGTTTTAAAGCCGAAACCGAAAGAAATAAAGAATTTATTCAAAGTGTAAGTTATGTTTTCATTATAGCTACTTTACATTCAACTTCGTTTGTTAAGATTCACCTCGACGTGGCCCAACTCCTGAAGCCTAATAACTCCCGTCTATTCCCCTTAAACCACATTGAGCCGTCTGAATTGAGACTTTTTATCGTTTCCAATCCTCGTCTCCTTCAGTAAGTGCTCTATTGTCTGCAAGTCTTTTTCTGACATGCTTTGTGGTCGCAGATTTCCCTAAAAAGGGAGAGTTGAGAATGGAGAGAGGAGAGACGTCTGAGACGAGTATAGGAAAGGAGAGGCGAGAAGGAGATAGCATTGAAGTGTGGGTAATGATTGACTGAGTGCTCTTTGTTGCTCCTCAGGTGTGCCGTGAACAGTTTGTGGCCTTGCATAGTCAGCCTATTCTAGAAGAGCTGTCCTGGTTTCTCCTACAGAAATATAGCAGAAGACCTCCGTAAGTCCCTTTGCACTATTCAGTGGTATTTAACTTCTGCCAAGTTGCAGTAATGCACTGATGTTCGACTTCACCTCATAACAAAATAGTAAAGTATATTCCTGTTAATGGCCAGTAACTGATAAATGGCTGATATTGTAATTCTATACTCTTAGAAAAATGTAGAATTTTTTTTTATCATTATCATATTTAAATGTATTATTGTATTTACAATTAGATATGAAGCATTAGCAAATAAATGAGTATTTTCACAATATATCCGATTACTGATAAATGTCTGGTATTATAATTTTATACACTTCAGAAAATGTGTACATTTTAAAAATCTAAATATTTAGGATTTAGAATTAGACATAGGATGATAAATGTAACTGTTTTTTAATTAACATTACTAACAAATGGCTAATATTTTACATCTATACTTACATCTATCTATAATTTACATCTATACTACACCCTAAAATAAAGAGTAGTATATATATATAAATATATATATATATATATATATGTATATATATGTATGTATATGTATATATATATGTATATATATATGTATATATATGTATGTATATGTATATATATATATGTATATATATATGTATGTATATATATATATATATATATATATATATATGTGTGTGTGTGTGTGTGTGTGTGTGTATATATATATATATATATATATATATATATATATATATATATATATATATATATATTTATGAGCAATATCACACGAGTAGCAGTGCTATATGGCTGTATATCGGCACAGGTCAAGGCCGCAGGCTGAGTGCCTTGTTGTCCCACCAGTGACGATATACAGCCATATAGTACTGCTACTCCCTTGATATTGTATTTATTCAACAGTTTGTACATAGTCGTGTATATAAAGAAAATCAAACACACAGAGTCTAAAAATCCTTTTGTATGAGTAACTACTTTGTTCCGCCATTCATTCACATCTACGTCAGAACAGCAGAAACCATTGCTATGTCGCAAACTTTACTTTAGAGCTAGTATTTGAATGATTCTCTGTAGTGTAATGTGTAAAGTGATGACAAAACGGGTGATTTTGCTCACATTTTAAAATTTATAAGGCTGAACGGCATGAAATGCAGAGACATTTCCCAGTACTTTTCTCTTGCAATCGGGAAATCACAATAATTAACCCTTAAAAAGTCAAAGCAAACACTACCAGAGACACTAACAGACTATGGTAAAAATACAAAAGAGAGGGATTACTTACCTGTTTTATAATGATTTGATCAGCTGTAGTTTGAAATTATAATGAGTTTTTCTCCTCTAAGGACTTATTATGCGGTCTCTATTGCCATCTTGTGGCAGAACATCAACCCTCTTTGCTCTGCTCAGTATGACGAGCTGATGAATGCCGATGCGCTTTGAAATGAGAAATATTTAAAATAGGTACTATCCTTATAAATAAACGGCATAGTTGCAATCTAAACAACTACATTCTAACCTAAAATAGCTTCAAAAGTACATCATTGTTCAACAGCTACAATATTGGTCAAATTTTTGTGAGTTTATTGATCTGCTGTTACTCTATGTGAGGGGAGTAATATAAAGGGATGAGGAGTGCTGTACGAGTGCTGTTATTGCAGAATAACCAGACAGAAATAGACAGAGCTGGTGTATATATATATATATATATATATATATATATATATATATATATATATATATATATATATATATATATATATATATATACATACATGCATATATTATATATATAAACATTTTTACAATAAATTAACCGCTACTCTTAAGGCTGAATTTATAAATCATAAAAAAAGTTAATATTTAAAATATAACAAGCATAGACTTTGTTATAATAGATTCACTTTTTTACATTATTTTCTACATTTAGTTTTTATTTAAAAATAGATATGAAATAGCCATAAATGGCCATTTTAAAATAACCGATATGAGTTATATTAATAATCTATTTACCTTTTGTTAAAAATGAAAGTAAGCACAAAACTAGGAAACAAAAACACTTAAAACTTGAATTAAATAGACTATATAGTACATTTTCATTTAAAATCAGCAAAAATTATTTAACATCCAACTTTAGCAAATAAGTTATTAACATTGGGTTATCTGCATGAAAGTCCTGACCAATATCACTGCATATTTGATGTTGTAGACAGTAACTAATAAAAATACGAAAATCATTAAACAAATAGTTTGTGTACTCAAAATGGATTTAAAGAGGACAGACAATTAAATATCCAATGTGCACATACAATACATATCATCTGAAATGCTTCCATATAATTATCCATCTCTGTATACAGCTGTTTTATGTTTTGTTTATTTAAATTGTGACAGATGTTCTGTCATCATGGTTCAATTTATCTTATGTCCAGTTTTTTTCCCTCACAGCGTTGGCTCAAAACCAAAGAAGTTACTGGAATACTACACTCTAATGAAAGTGTTGTCCAGTGTTCCTCAAACAGGTGAGTTAACCCACAGACGTGACGTTCTGATGTGCTTTCATGCTCATCTGATTGACAGCTTGTCAGGTTTAATGCAGCTTTTTTCTGTTGCATAACACCATCCTGCAGAAGCATACATGTGACTTTATGTTCATCAGCAAGATAGATTTCATTAAACTGATGACAATTAATTCTGTCAAATGGTTAATCTGTTTACGTAATACTGGCCGGAAGGATGCAAACCACTGGACAGCATGGGCACATTTACAGCTAAATCATACACATCTGGCACATCAAACCGCTGATTCAGCAGAGACAGTACTGAGGGACAGCATGTTAAAAACTCAATAAAATTAAGATGATTCGTTCATTGTGTAAATTAGAGCTGCACAATATATTGTTTCTGCATCCGCAATATTCACATCGCTTAATCTGCAATGACAAGTATGACCTATTGTGGACCAGGAGCTTGTACATTAATGCCAAAGTTTTATTATGGTGGATTTAAAGTGTATTAAATGCATTTTTTTCTGTCAAAAATATCAAGTGAGTTTAATGCATTCAGGCTCAAGAAACAATAACAAAGACTAATGAAATAATTTTTATAGTGAAGACTACCAAGTGTCATTTTACATTAGATTTATAACTATTTGTGTCCAACTGCCATAACTGGCCATTTCCACTGAGTGGTACGGTACAGTATGGTCCGGTATGCTTTTATGTCCGTTTCCACTTTCAAAAGGTTCAAGCTGATAAAAAGGCAACTGGAACTCAAATAACCATTTGTTACACCCGAGGTATGCAGAAGATTATCTCTGAACGCACAACACATCCAACCTTGAGGCGGATCCATCAAAAGACCACAGCATGTGCCACTCCTGTCAGCAAAGAACAGGATACTGAGGCTTTAATTTGCACAGGCTCACCAAAATTGGACAATAGAAGATTGGATAAACGTTGCCTGGTCTGACGAGTTTCGATTTCTGCTGCGACATTCTGATGGTAGGGTCAGAATTTGGTGTCAACAACATGAAAGCATAGATCCATCCTGCCTTTTATCAACAGGCTGGTGGTGGTGGTGTAATGGTGTGGCAAATATTTTCTTTGGGCCCATTAGTACCAATTGAGCATCATGTCAATTCCACAGCCTGGTATTGTTGCTGACCATGTCCATCCCTTTATGACCACAGTGTACCCATCTTCTGATGGCTACTTCCAGCACAATAAAGCACCATGTCATAAAGGGCGAATCATCACAGACTGGTTTCTTGAACACAACAATGAGTTCAACTCAAATGACCTCCACAGTTACCAGATCCTCAATCCAATAGAGGACCTTTGGGATGTGGTGGAATAGGAGATTCACATAATGGATGTGCAGCTGAAAAATTTGCAGCATTTGCATGATGCTATCATGTCTCTAAAAGAATAATTCCAGTATCTTGTTAAATTTATGCCACGAAGGATTAAGACAGTTCTGAAGGCAAAAGGGTGTCCAACCCGATACTAGTAAGGTGTACCTAATAAAGTGGCCAGTGAGTGTAAATGTATCGTGTCATTTATGAACCTAAATAAGGCTTAAATGTATATTTTGCATACATATTTTTTGTAATTAGTAACATTTCAAAGACTGTAAGGCTCTGTATGTGTTTATAAATGTTTCATTTTTTATATATATAAACACGCGCAGTCATTAGAGTAAGCTGTTTTGCAATATCATTGATCTGCAGCTGTAATAAAATCCTGTCAATAGAAAGATTAGTAATTAACATTTAAATATAAGTATTTATAAATATATATATATATATATATATATATATAAAGCATTTGTTCAAGTCAGTTAGAAATGTCTTCAACTTCAAGCATGAACTTCAAGCATGAACTTCAAGCGAAAATGACGTTGACTGCAACTCTGTCATACATCACACCTACCAAAAGGGTACCATTAGGCAGTGGAGACACAAGCCTGAAAATTTTGACCCGTACCATACTGTATCAGTCAGTGGAAACAATGCATGACTAACCAGACAAATATGAAACACTTTTCATTTGTCTGGTTTTTCACTCTTAAAAATCTAGTTTAATCATTTGTTTTGTACTTCACTATAAAATCACCCCAAACATTCTGAAATAGTGAATTCTGTCACCGCTGGCTTGCTTGGTTTGGGACTTGTGGAGCTGTGCATCGATGGATTTGCTTTTCAGGGTTTGGACTTGCAGCAGTGAAATTTAATCCACACTGAACTGAACTAAACTGAACTTCAACTCTGAAAACTGGACTGACAGTTTTAATTTACTAGTACTTCTTTGTTAAGCTGCTTTGACACAATCTACATTGTAAAAGTGCTATAGAAATAAAGATCATTTGAATTGAATTCATCACAAAAAGGTTTATTCAATCCATTTGGTGACATATGTTACATCGCTGAAAAGCAAAATATTGCAATGTTTGGGCTGCATAATATTGTGATAATTTTTTTTTTTTTATGATGTACAGTTGAAGTCAGAGTTATTAGCCCCCCCTTTGATTTTTTTTTTTTTCTTTGTTAAATATTTCCCAATAGATGTTTAACAGAGCAAGGATTATTTTGGCTATAATAAAAGCAGTTTTACATTTTCTAAAGCCATTTTAAGGTCAAAATAATTAGCCCCTTTAAGCCATTTTTTTTTCTTGATAATCTACAGATCAAACCATCATTATAGAATGGCTTGCCTAATTACCCTAATCTGCCTAGTTAACCTAATTAACCTAGTTAAGCCTTTAAATGTCACTTTAAACTGTATAGAAGTGTCTTGAAAAATATCTAGTAAAATATTATTTACTGTCATCATCATAAAGATAAAATAAATCCATTATTAGAGATGAGTTATTAAAACTATTACATTTAGAAATGTGTTAGAAAAATCTCTCCGTTAAACAGAAATTGGGGGAAAAAATAATAATGCAGGGGGGCTAATAATTCTGACTTCAACTGTATATTGCAATATTAAATATAATTTCATAATTCATATTGATAAAATCAATAGGCCTGTTTGGAAAGAAGTCATCATTTTATATGCCTTGGGATGGTTTCATAAGGAATCTACATAGATTGCAATTAACTAATCACAAATATTGATAAATACAGTAGGGCAATGATAATGTGCAAATTAAATGCACCGTGCTTTAGGATTTTCTGTAATTAAATCTGCAAAAATCAGAAACAAATGTAATACTCAAATGTAAAATTCTGTATATTTAAACACAAATACAGCTAAAGTTAGAAACGTAATTTCTTATGCCTGAATGCTTTAAACTGACTGAAATCCTCACAGGCCCTAAAAGCACACATAGTTTCTAAAACATTTGGTAACCTTATGGATAAACGTTGCAAAGACTCCACAAATCACGAGTGTTTTGAATAGTGGCTCCTGGTCAATTATAATACCGGTTTGACTTTGCAGATCCTGTGATGTGACTAATGCGGATGCTCATATTGCGATATCGATGCTGAAACGACATATTGTGTTAAAAATGCTGATTATGTGCTCTTCTTGTTCAAAAGTGCAATATAACCCAGAAATAAGATTGACCCTGTCTGTTTATATTTGGGTAACAAAGTGGCTCAGTGTTATTTCAGTAGACTGGGTCCTGACACTCAGAAGTGTTCGTGCTGCTGAAGTCACGCTCAGTATTCCTCCAGGACTCCTCCTGGTTTCCTCTAATGAAATTGTGTCCCCGAAGACTGCGTGTCCGTCCATGTGTGTCCCACAGGCCTGATTTCCCCCCGCCCTGTTCTATAGCGGAAGGTGACTTCTCGTGTCTTTGTCAGGCAGACCACCCACAATTGTTTGCACAATCATGTCTCTGCTGAACTGCTCCGTTGTTTTATCTACATTTATATCTCCCGCGGGATTCATTTCATGCTTCCGAGTACAAATGAAATTGATTAGAGATGAATGGATTGGGTTAACGGAGTGCTGTGGTGTTGTTTATAACTCTTCAATTTTTTTCAGTGGTTATTGATTTGGGGTTTTTATTACTCAGATTGAATTATTTTCAAAACTTATTAAAGCAGCAAGTGCAACAGAATGGTTTGGGAGAGCTTATGGAAACCTAAAATGAAAAGCCTGAGTAATAGTTTCAAGGTGGGGGAGCCCTTCGCTTTTGTACATTTTTCAAACCATATCTATATATATATATATATATATATATATATATATATATATATATATATATATATATATATATATATATATATATATATATATATATATACACACACACACACACACACACACACACACACACACACACACACAGACGCGCACACACACTATATTAGTTGTATATATTTTATATCTGAATTATGCCAATTGCCAATTTTGTCTTTTGATTTTGAAGAAAATTGTATATACAATACTGGTCAATTATTATTTTTTCATGTTTTTTTTATTATTATTATTCTGTTCGTCAAGGCGGCATTTATTCAACATTAAAAAAAATGTAATAGTTAAATATTTATTACAACTTTTGATAACTTCTTTCATATTATATGTAGTTTCATCTAAAATTATTACTCTGGTCATTATTATTTTTATTGCTATTATCAATAATGGTTTAATCATTATTACAATAATTAATATTGGAGTGATTTCTGAAGGGTCATGTGACTCTGAGAGTAATAAAGCTGAAAATTAATCTTTAAAATCACTGAAATAAATTATTAAAGGGCACCTATGATGAAAATCATCTTTTGTAAGCAGTTTGGACAGAACTGTGTGTAGGTATAGTGTGTCAACTGTCATATTGGGGTGATATATACACAATAAGTCTATTTTTTTTTTTAATTTCCTGACAATAAAATAGGATCCAAACCCCTTCCATTTTAAGGCCCACATAACGTAGGAGTGTGGTTTCCCCCACCCACTGAATTGATTGACAGCCGCGTATTAACATGTCCTCGTATTAGTGTGTATAATAATATCAGCAAAACGGGATGTGTGCAAAGCAACTAGGATTAAAGATCTGTTAAGCTGATCAAGAATGTGATTAAGAATGAGTTTTACAAGTTTAAAACTTTTAAAAACAGTGCATGTTAGAAATGAATTACAGCGATATTACCGTCTTTATCAGAACAGCCGCATGTCAGTACAATTAGAAAAGAAGACGCTTCAATCCTGGTTTGTGAATGTTAAATCAGGTTTAATCTGTGCAATAAAATAACTGATATCCATACAGTAGTGGATATTAATGTGTTTCCTTTCGCATTTGCCATGCGAAAACATTAAAAAGTCTGTGTTTGTGTGTCCTTTGTGTGCGTGTGCGCGTATGTGTGTGTGTGTGTGTGTGTGTGTGTGTGTGTGTGTGTGTGTGTGTGTGCGTGTGTGAACTTTGAGAAGCAAGGGAAGCAAAAAAAATGTTAAATGTAGTTGAAATTTTGTAGGTTTTAAATTTTGTGCAATATTTTGTTTTAATTTAATTGTATTATCTTTCAATTTCTAAATATGTTTGGATACTAAAATATTATTTAAAAAAAAATATGTTTAATAAATCTATTTTGTTTAAATGCACCAAAATATATTGTCTATATTCACTAAGAAATTGATATAAACAATCGTTTTCAAAATGGGGTGCACTCAATTATGCTGAGCACTATATAATATTTGCAACCAAGTATTAAAAAGAGAAAGTTTGATTGATTATTGTTCTGTTCAATTACTTTTGGACCCTTAACAAGTGGGAGGCATATATGCAAACTGTTGTAACTCCTTCAGCGTTCACCCTATTTGAATGTAAATACCCTCAAATTAAAGCTGACAGTCTGCAGGTAAAACACATATTTTGTTTAATTTCAAATCCATTGTGTTGGTGTATGGAGCCAAAATGTTAGAATGTGTCGAGGTTCAAATATTTATGGACCTGACTGTATGTTTGATTATTGTTCCAGCTATTTCTGTGTATTAATACTGAGTGAGTACAAAACTCAACATTCCTGTTTTGTTTGTTGCATATTTCATCCTAAAACCTTGTAACCATAACAATTCTGTCTTGTAGGTGATTTTGACCTCGAAAAGGTAAAAGATTCAGTATATTTCTTCAGTTGAGGAGCGTATTGTCAACCAACAGACAGTTTTCATCATTGATGAGGCGGAGAGCCTGAACAGACCTCATCAAAACCCACTGCTGCTTTATACAACACTGAAAGTGCGTGACTGAGACCTGCTTGATCTGCATGAATGTGTGTGTCTGTCTGTCCTGTCACATTATCATAAAGACATCACTTAAGCACTGACGCAGAGTTCTGACGGAGAAGAACAGCAGGAGTCGCCCTCGTGTATAAGCGCAAATGTGATTTCTTCCCGTATGAACGTCTAGCGGTTGCTCCACGGGACTCTCATCCGCTTCTTCACTCTCGAGTGCAAACGCCGGGCTGATTAACCACATGATTCTGGCTCTCATCGATTTCAAGGCAGCCCTGTCTGAAAGCTCCACGCTGGCATTTCCACTTGGATATGATTTACTCACTACTGCTGAGGAAACGTGACGATAAATACCATAATAGCACTTGTAGGAGTGACTTTATTGACGTTGACCTTGCGGTGTCCTGTTTTTGAAGGACTTCAGGGCACTTAAAAGTCATTCAGGTGCTTGTTGGACATTGCGCTCATGGAATTCGCCGAGAAATAAAGTCAATATTTTTTCACTCTGGGTCTGCAAAAGGTTAATTGTTATTGAAATTCCAGACTTGCTTGGGCAGGTCTTGTTCTGTTTTCTGGGCTTTGACAGTGGTTTATTGCAAAGGGCAGAGGGAAACAAAACCAATCCGATGCTAGGCTACACTTGATTATATGAAGATTGACGTCAGCCGACCCGCTCGTTTCCTGACATCTCCAACAACCTCTGCGTGGGAAGTTATGTCGTCGTACAGTAATAATAGCTCATGGGCATACAGCCATTTGCCACCACATATTAGCTTTAAAACATTTACTGTCGGTGTTTCCTGAATCTCCAAGCATAGTAAATTGAATTTTATCCAAGCTGAGTTTGCAGTGTGAGCAGATAAACACATCACTCTACAGCACACGGCAGTGATTGACTCTTCTGAACTGATTCTTCTAATGAATCACTTAGATAAGTCAGAAACCGTATTTGACTCACTTAAGAAAAATCATATGCTCCATAAATCACTGAATCTCTCAGAGTCTTACTAGAGAGTGTTTATTTGAAAGTTTTCTCATAAAAAATGACAATTTGTTTGGAATTTTTTGGTAATTTTAGATAACAGCAGCATTTGCGAGGCCTGAAAATGCAATTGCTTGAATCTAGTGAAATCTTTTAACATCACAACGGAAAAACTTTGAATTTTAGAGTATTATTGTAATGTTGAAGGGATATTTCATCCAAAAATGTTCATTTACTTACTGTTTACTCTTTACTGTTTATACTTTTATGAGTTTCTTTCTTCTATTTAACACAAAAGAAGATATTTTGAAGAAAGCTGAAACAAACGCGTAAGTGTGTGTAAGTGTAAATGTGTAAGATTGATCTTTTTTGTGTGAACTATCCCTTTAAATGTATCACAAGCCATTTGATTTACTTCTTTTACAAAGTCAAAAAAATGTATTTGTGCAACACTGTATGAACAAGAGACTCTTATGAACTGAATCTTGTATTAATTTAAACCAAATCATCAAAAGATGAATTAGTCAGAATGCTCTTACACAGCAAGATATTTCATCTTTTCTTTCTTATAAACTGATTTTAATGAATCATTTGAAATGTTTATATACTCTATTAATAATTTAGGTCACTGAATATCTGATTTGCGCATATACTGAACCAGAAGTTGCTTCTTTTTTTTCACCGAAAGTAAGGATATGTTTTGTGTAACTAATACAAAGTTGGGTTTGTGGTCATCTTTCTACAAAACCACCCCATTCATGAACTGCTTCTTATGAGCTGATAATTCTTTTAATGAATCGTTCAGAAAATGTGGTGAAACATTTACTGTCTGTGTTTCCTGAATCTCCAAGCATAGCAAGTTGAATTTTATTCAAGCTGAGTTTGCAGTGTGAGCGAATAAACATGTCACTCTTCAGCACACAGCAGTGATTAACTCTTATAAACTGATTCTTCTAATGAATCACTCAGAAGAGTCAGAAACCATATTTGACTCACTTAGGATATTTGAATCTGTCAGAGTGTTAGTAAAAAGTGTCCACTTGAAGGTTTTTTTCCCAAAACACAACATTTTTTTTGTTGTTGTTTTTGTTTTTCTGTTCATTTTAGATGAAAGCAGCATTTTCGGGGCCTGAAATGCAATTGCTTGAATCTCACCGCTGTATTATGAACAAGTGACACTTATGGACTGATTCTTTTGATTAATCACTAAGAAGACTCACAAATTGTATCACAAATTTAAACCGAGTCATCAACAGATGAATAAATCAGAATGCTCTTACACAGCAAGTTTTTTCATGTTTGGTTGCAAAAGTAGCTTAAATGTGATGCACAACAAAGTGATTCCTATGAACTCATTTTTAATGAATCATTTGAAATGTTTACATATGCTTTATTAATTTAAGTTACGAAATATCTGATTTGCCGAAACACTGAACCAGAAGTTGCTTCTTGTTTTCATTGAAAAAAAAAAAATGTTTTGTGTAACTAACACAAGGTTGGGTTTGTGGTCATCTTTCTACAAAACCACCCAATTTATGTAATTCATGAACAACTGCTTATGAACTGGTATTTTATTGGATGAATCGCTCTAAAAATGTGATAAAACATTTTGTTTGACAAGACAAGACTTTGAGGATCTCCTCAACCCCACTGACATGTCTTTTATTGAGGAAGCAGGGTGGACTTACCCATCACCCAAGCTGAGGTCACTGAGGTACTGTAGTTCCACAATGGCAAAGCAGCGAGGTGTATGAGATCCACCCTGTGTATCTTAAGTCTCTGGATGTTGTGGGGCTATCTTGGCTAACACATGTCACTTGGAGGTCGGGGACAGTACCTCTGGACTGGGCAACTGGGGTAGTGGTTCCCATTTTAATCAAAGGGGGAGCAGAGGTTGTGCTCAAACTATAGGGTGATCACACTCCTTAACCTCCCTGGGAAAGTCTATCCCAGAGTACTGGAGAGGAGGATCTGGCTGATAGTTGAACCCAGGATTCAGGAAGAACAATGCGGTTTTCGTCCAGGCCGTGGTACACTGGACCAGCTATATACCCTTATAAGAATCAGCACCTCCAAGTCCGAGGCCATGATGCTCCACCGGTAAAAGGTGGTTTGCCATCTCCAGGTTGAAGCAGAAGTCTTTACCTCAGAAGGAGAAGTTCAAGTATCTTGTGGTTTTGTTCCCGAGTGAGGGAAGGATGGAACGTGAGATCGTTGCAGCAGTAATACGGTCAATGTATCGGTGTGTTGTGGTAAAGAAGGAGCTGAGCCAAAAACCAAAGCTCTAGATTTACCGGTCAATATATGTTCCTACTCTCACCTATGGTCATGAGCTTTGGGTCATTATCGAAAGGACAAGATCTTGGATACAAGCGGCCGAAATAAGGTTTCTTCTCAGAGTGGTAGGGTGCCCCCTTATAGATAGGGTGAGGAGCTCTGTCACCAGGGAGGTGCTTGGAGTAGAGCTGCTGCTCCTCCACATTGAGAGAAGTCAGCTGATGTGGTTTGGGTATCTGTTTCGGATGCCAGCTTGACACCTAGCCAGCTTGGAGGTGTTTCAGGCATGTCCCACTGGAAGGAGGCCTCGGTGAAGACCCAGAACATGCTAGAGAGACTATGTCTCTTAGCTGGCCTGGGAAGGCCTCGAGATCCTTCCGGAGGAGCTGGAGGAAGTGTCTGGTTAGAGGGAAATCTGGGGTTATCTTCTAACACTGCTGCCCCCATGACGCGGCCTCGGATGAAGCAGATGAAAATGAATGAATGAAGATGTTTTAATTCACTGAAGTCATTTCGGGTGAGTTCACAATGTGTTCTCAAAGCCACCTGTGTAATGTGATTCACAAACAAGTGACTCTTATGAACTGGATCTTTTACTCAATCATTTAAAAACATAAGAAAGAAATACCTGTATATCTGTTACTGAACAATCTGATCTGAATTTACCTTGGAGTTATGCACATTTACCGTGCAGTTCTGTGAATCTGATGATGCAGTCTGATCAATTCAGACATCATTGATATGCAAAATCATTTTCTTGTTTCACACAAAATGAAGAACATTTCTTTGCTAGTGTTTAGTTACAGATACATTTTCAAGTAAAGGTTTGGCCAGAGCTTTTCATCATCACAATTTCTCTATAAAATTGCTTTTTTAAATCAAGTGATTGGATGAAAGCCTCCACTTATTCATTCATATGACGAATCAAACTCACTGGCGAGATTCTGAGAGGTCATTAAAACATTGACCAACAAGAGGAACTGCATATTTTTAAAGATGCTCTACTTTTACAATCATGTAAATCAGTTTGCTAAAATGACTGCTGCATATAAATTGATGAATGAATGCATAATACATTTTCATGAAACTTCTACACTGATTGCAAGAACCAACTTTGGAGCTGTTTTAAAATAACTGTAACTGCTTTCCTGCTTTCCACAATAAACTCACACTAAGTACCTAAAGTTAGTTTAAAACAGACAAGTTCTTATTGTTAAACATGTCATGGATGGGCATGAGATGAGCAGATATCTTTCAGCCTATTGATTGAAGTGGCCATCACAGCAGTCAGGACTAAATTAGAGATAAAAGCCAGCTGGCCTTGGATGCCGTCATTTAGATGAATTCATTATCATTTCCCAGTTGATATGGTTACTTTTGCTGCTCTTTACATCCCGAACATTAGTAATGGAACTGAGAGATGACAGCATGCGAGGAAAAACCCAAGTATGGTGAGCATCAGCTTTGTGAGTTTCTTTGTTTATAATCATATTTAATTATGTTTTTTTTATAAATATATTTATTTCTTGATCCCAAGTAGTCTTTTTAAACCGTTGAACTAACTTATATTTCATTCAGGGGTACACAATATAACATCTTTCATTTTTTAGAGTAGACTCCCCCCTTTTGTATACAGCACTTGGCAAAATGTTAAAGTTTGTTTCTTTTTCAATAGCCTGTCTAATCCAAAGTGGTCTAATATGCAAAAATGACTTTTATAAGAGGTTTAAGCACAGTTGTGTGGCAACAGTTTGTGAATATAGCTAGCCTCTAATGATAAAAGTTAATTAATTACATTTTTTATGATCAAACTTGTTAAAAACAGTCTGCAGAAAGACTTTGATTTGACATTTTTCCTTTGTACATGTCATCAGAGGGCGAAAAGCCCGCCCATGAGTGGCATTCTCTCTCTCATTAGCATGAACAGCCCTGAGTGAGAAGCAGCCATCCACCATTAGAGTTTTCACCTGCTGAAGGTAATGCCAGCCAGTTTTAGGACACTCATATGAACACCGTAGTCTCCATAAACTGCCTTCTTCTGGGACACTACATTTGGATCATTTTCACAATTTGGATCAAAGCCTAAAAGGGGCAGTTTGAAAGAGTTATAAAAAATTATTTACACTCTCTAGGGCACAGGTCTCTACACAATTTAGTTCCAAACCTAATTACACACACTTGATTAAACTAAATTAGTCCTTCAGACTTGTTTGAAACCTTCAGGTAAGTGTGTTGAAGCAGGGTTGGAACTTAACTGCTGGGTTGCTGTTCTTCAGGAACTAAGTTTGACACCCCATGCTCTAGGAACATCAGGGATTTATTTTACATTGTGTAAAAGGGGCATAATAGGTCCCCTTTAAAACTTAAACTATGAAACTTGAAACTATGGTCAAGATAGGTCAAGTTTTAAAAGATGATTTGGACATAACAGTATTTCTTTTCTCAAAATCGTTCTTCCAGGCCACAGCTAATTTTGCTCCTGGTTACATAAGCAAGTGTGAAAAAATGTGCTTTTAGATGTAAGGGAAATCTAATATTGTTTAACCCTTTCACATGTAAGTTTTAACCCTGTTCCTGAGTTATTTAGAATCCATCACTTTTATATTTTTTAACATCTAGTGGAACATCTATCTACAGCCCAATGTGCTGCAGAGATTAGAGTTGTTGGATTTACAACATGTCAATTCATCAATTCCTCCTAAACTACATGAAAGTATAACCTGGTTTATACTTCTGCATCGAGCGATTGCCGTGACCCATGGCGCATGCCTTACACGTAGTTGTGCATTTATACCTCTGCATGCTGTTTGTGTTGCTCTGCAAAAACACTACCTGGCAGTAGGTTTTTATGTTCCTTTGTGTTGAGTTTCTTTACGAGTAATTTGTTTTTTTTTGGAATGCTACCTTACTGTACAAGTAGCTAAAACTTGCTCGTTCAGAGGCAGGAAAGGACGGATGTGCACCAACTTTAATCATAAGGTAAACACAAAACAAAAGTTTCCATTCGAGTCTCCTTCAACTGGACTGGACATTTGTAAACACTCGCTCCATCAGGCTCTAGCTCTTAGCACTGCCCTCACTTGTCACAGTTACCAAGTTTACCAATGACAGAGCTTGTGCTAAGCACCGTTGCAATGAGTAGTTACATTTTTGGAGAGGTGCACGTCAGCCACAGCAAGGGATATTCAACTGCGCAAAGGCTGCACCAGACCACACACGTGCGCTTGATGCAGAAGTATAAATCAGCCTTAAATGGCTGCTTCACTGGGAGAAGAACAGAGTAGATGTTGTAGTTACCTAAACAAAATGAATCAGTTGTGAATAAGACACATTGTGGGAATGTACAAAATGATTATTATTTCTGTCTTCCATAGACATTTTTTATGTAAATCTTTAAATGTCAGCAACCTAAACAAATCAAATCAAAAACATTGATTACATTTGATCTTTGACAAGTTCTGCGCTTATCTTTCTCTGGCTTGGTGCTAGCCATTCAGGGAGAGCTGATTTGAATTTAGCAGCTGACTAAAGATGTACTCAATATTTTTAATCACATCGGTGTGATCATACATTTCAGGGACCAACCTTGATTGTTCAAATCACTGTTATTGTATGCAACAAAGTGTAGTTATTACAAAGGTTTTTATGTTTAATTTACAGAAATATTACTGGATGTAGTCAGTTGCTAATTGGAAGGTGCCAGGATTGTCCACTGTTGACTTAGGCCCCCTTTACACTAATACGTTTCAGTTTTAAAATGCATAAGTTTTGCTGCAGTTACGCCTTTCATCCACAATACCCCAGAGTTTCCGAGCCCCGAAAACGTAAACACTTTGGAAACATTGAAGAAGCCTTTTTCATTTTAAAACGCTGCTGCTGTGTTTCAGTGTGGATGGGGAAAACGGAGACATCTGAAAACAGAGGCATGGCTGCAGACATTCGGTCTACCAGATTGGGGCTTTTTCTCGATATCAGGAAGCCTACACAAAGTTCAGCCTTGCATCTTTTCTTTGTAAGTTCAGATTTTGAAAGTTTATAATGAACTGTAGAAGACACGTCGGGTAAATCTTCAAATGTAACAGCGGTGTACTTTTTTAAAGTCATTTACCCTGGCTATGATTTACTATTTTAACAATAAAATGAAAACACGACATAAAGCACTGTCTCTTTTTTTTATATATTAACAACTTAAACTACAGAGAGATGAGATCCAGCGGCAGATTCGGGATGAACTGGCTGACGTTCGGCTTCTCTTAGCCGGGCAGTTGTGCTCAAAGCTCTTGCTGACTGCTTAAAGGTCAGATGCGAGAATACGCTGAAGCTGCTTTCAGCGCATGCCAAAGTGCGCGTATGGTCACGTGATTTTCAAAAACACTAGATGAAACGCCAGTGTGGACGTGGATCATTTTTGTTCAAAAACCCAGTTTTAAAAGTAAAACGTATTCGTGTAAACAGGGCCTCAGTAGATTTGCCTAGGGCAACGTTTTTTATTTATATAGATTTGAAATGCAGCTTTTTTTTTTTAACTACTTTTAGACTTTTTGGAAAAAGATGGATGCTGTACAAGTATAGATACTCAAGATTAACATGGGCCAAATGACCATGATGCGTCTTCTTTAAGAACAATGAGAGCAATTGTATGCATCATTTCCAATAATTCATATTAAGTTGTTTGCTTTATGTTCAGCATAAAGTTGAGTCTCATCTTTCAAACTCTGTTAATTGTATTACTAAATGTCGGACCATTCATTCATTCATTTTCTTTTCGGCTTAGTCCCTTTATTAATCTGATGTAGGACCATAAGCAAATAAAATTTGATGTAGGATTAAAAAAAAATTATTAACATCACCAAATCAATGACAGTCTGTATGTTGAATGCTAAGTAAAATTCATTATAAACCGTCGTGCTGCAAAACAATCCAGGCACTTAATTGAGCACTGCTTTTTAAGTAGTTTTTCACAAGAAATTTACCTTTAATAGACCTTTAAACAGGCATCAAAACTGTCTGGTTGTCCTTTTGTCCATAGGTCATATCACTAAAATCTAAAAATAAATACTCAAATTTTGTTTAGATTGAAGTCGGGAACACAATTCACCAAAAGAAATATTAACATGGGTAACACTGTAGTTTTCTCACAATTCACTGTATTAACAAACCAGTAACTAACACTACTAGCTCAATAAAATACTAATAAGCTGTATTAATGGTTAGTAGGATAGAAGTTGAGTTAAAGGTTTGGGTAGAATTAAGGAAAGCAGAAAAAGATCATACTTTATAACTACTAATGTAAAGTTAATAGCTTAATAATGGGCAGATAATGAGCTAGTAGTTGATAGCATAAATTGTGACCGAAACTGAAGTTTAACCTTAACATGCAGTGCTTTTGTTTATAAAAACAATAAAATATTTAGACTGAAATACTTTGTTAAACTTGAAAGTACTTTGTGGTAAAATGTGTTGAGTTATTGAGACAAATATTCATTTCTTGTGGACAAACTGTAAACTTTATTGCTTCAAATATTACTTATAATTTGGCAAAAAGGTAACACTTAGGCATATATGAAATAAAATCAACCTCTGTGTTTGGTGCAACATAAAACTAAGGACATGTGCATTATTAAAAGCAGCTATAAGATTATTATTTTTTTGTTTATTCGCAGCGTCTGTAGGGAATTGATCAAACTATTTTACAAGGCAAAGACATTATGATTGAGTTCAAACCCATCATATGAACAGTCTGAAGCTATTTTTAACCATCTGCCCATTTTCTTCTGTTCTAGAAATCCTTAATGATCAATTCGCGCTTGGCTTTGTTTCTGGGATGTGAAATACAAACAGGAGCAGCTATAGCAGATCTTATAGTGTCTTTCAAGTTGTGAAATGGTAAGTAACAGCAGAATATAAATAGGTTTTCAAGGATTAAAAGACCGAGAGGACATCAGACCTCATTAGGTAGCCATGGCGAGCAAGTTATTTAGCGCTCCAAAACAATAGATAGCAGAGAGACTCGTCGTCGCCTGATAGATCTGGTCACATTTTAGAGGAGGGGGAGGTAATCATCTCAAATGTACCCACTCGCATAAACTCACTTGCCTTGTAAGATGTGTAGTAACTGCTTGAGACTTGGGTATTAAAGGAACACTACACATTTTTGGAAATAGGTTAAGTCCCCTAGAGTTAACAGATGGGTTTTACCATTTTTCTTAATCCATACAGCCATTCTCTGGGTCTTAATAATTTTCCGATTTAATGCTTGACTTTTCTGTAGTTATATCATGTACTAAGACTGACAAATTTCTTTAAAAAAAAAAAAAGTATTTTCTATGCCAGTACACCTACAGTAGGAACTATACTCTCATTCTGGCATAATAGTCAAGGAACTTTACTGTAGTACTATGGCTGAGGTAGGCGCAATGATATTATGCAGCACCTGAAAATAGTCCCCAGCTTGGTAACTAGGTATCAACCCTGCCTAATATCATTGCCCCTGCTGCAGACATGGTACTGCAGCAAAGTACATTGATTATTATGTCGAAAGAGAGTCTTGTTTCTAGACTTATCAACCTAGATAATAGATCCGTTGGTCTTAGTAAATGATGTAACTAGAGAAGAGTCAAGCTTTAAATGTAACCTGTTTAATTTTTTGAGCAAGATTGTAATAGTCTAATCTAGTTCAATGGTTTTTGCTAAGCTAAAAGTGCTCCCGCCATGTCTGGAGGTAAGCTAAATGGATTCAAAAATAGTAAAACTCAATTTTTTTAACTCTAGCGTAGAAGTGAAGTGTTGCTTTAAGACATGTTCACACACACTGTGCTTTATTTTTTTTGAAAGGAAAATGATTTTTATAAACAGGACAGAGCCACAGTTCTTGAAAATAATAGTTCATTAATCATAAAAAGCTGACCTTTGTGAAAAAGCTACTTAATTCCTTTGTAATTAAGACATAAATGCATTTGAATGCACCGGATAAGGGCAAATTAGTCTGCCAGTCATTAACCTTCCTTCTTCAGCAGCAAAATTAGCTCAAAATATATGTGGTATATGCTCTTATGAACGCTAATTAGGAAACTATTGATTCATTTAATTGTCCCAAAACTAAATCAAGATGGTGAAATCTGGTCTGTTGTGGGACAAGTAAGAAACACTTGACACACCTTTGCATGTCAGCTCATGTTAATATTTTACTTCGGCCCAACTTTGGTCTGAAAAAATAAGACAAAGACAGCAGTTCCAGTAAGAATACATCCCATTTCAAAACAGTTTGGGGCTCTCAAGTCATCAAATACACCTTTATTTTCAATAGCAATTCTAATTTTGTGCATTATAGGTTATATATCTAATGTCTAGCCGGTTCAAGTTGAGAAGAGGAAGTAAGCTCCTACATTGTGATCAGCAGCAAACTGCTAAGTCCCGGTATTTAGACACACATCAGCTTGCATCATTTGTACTACAGTATATAAAAGGGTGTGGGTACATTTGTAATCTCTGTGAACAGCTACAATAAAGAAAACCATTTCAAAGAGGCAAAGTGTGAGGGTGGAAGCTACATTGATGTTTATATCATGAGACAATGGAATCAATTGTCCCAATTGCGGTAAGAATGATACAGACATGTTTGTTTTATGCTAGAAAGTTTTGAGGGTTTGTTTGCCCTTGTGGCCAGTCACAATCACATACATTCTGAGAGTAAAATCCAAAGGTGTGACTAGGGTTCGGGAGAAGTTCTTGGAGAACAAAGGTCCATATGTTCCTGACTGAAGCAGAGACCACCAACGCTATTGAGGTCACAAATTTGAAGATAATCTAGATCTGATGTGATGTTGTTCTGTTTCTGGGAGGCTGCTTATTGAATCCTTCTTGGGAAGACCTGAATCCAAGCTAGGTCTCATCTGGGGTAGGGAGGCAGGAGGAAATGCACCTACAGACATTTGGTGTGTTAGTGCCATTCTAGGTGGGATACTTCCCCTAAGACCAGTGGGACCTGGGAGGTTCTGAGGGGGACCGATGGAAGTAGAAGAGACTCGGGTAGACTGGGGAGGACTTGGGGCAACTGGCTGAATCATGTCTGGGCGTAAGGATGGCTGGGAGGCGGAAAGGGCACGTGCGTCCTGGGTGAGAGTGCTCCTGTGGACTGCTGGTCGATGTGTGGGACTAGGGACAAGTTGCTGTACAAGGGATAACTGGGAGCCTGAGGGTGCACCCGGGGGGCTTGAACCATACTGGAATGTTCGAGCAGTAGTTGCCAGAGGACTATGGACAGGTGTGCTTGCAAGAGCAGAGGCACGGGCTAAGGTTGAGTACTGGGAACCTGGGGGTGTCTGAGTCTGGACGACCTGGAATCGCCGCACCATACGGGGAGACTGGACAGATCCAGAACCCATTAGAGGGTTACCCATCTGGGGACAGAAGCTCATGGCAACAGCTTGCTGGAGAGTAGCAATGGCAGAACTTGTAGAGGGTTGACTAGAAGGTCCAAACATACTCCCATGAGTTGACGGAGTCATGGACATGGCCCTGGGCCTCTGCATGTCCCCTTGTTTAACCAGTTTAACCATTTCCCTATCGTATTTCACAATCTCCTGGATCATCTCATTCTCACGGTTGTTGAAAACACCAGAATTGAGATCATGTTGTACTTTGTGCATCAGGATGGAGTTCTTCTTTCCTGTAAAGAAAAGATGATAAGTTATATCTTATTTTTTCTAAGTGTCCATAACTACTGTAGCTAGTAATCCTGAAGTTAAGGATGATTAATAATAATGGCAATTACCTAAATGTTTATTTCTTGTTACAGTGAATTCATTAAACTGTACTCTATTGCACCCTGTGGCTTTAGTAATTGTCAGACACAATGAAGCATTGTCTTATTCTAAACCATCATACTTCACCTAATTTTGTCAAATTTTCCAGGTGAAGGTATGAATCACAATTGTAATCCAGATCCATCCTGGTTTCAATCCTGCTCCTGGAGGGCCCTTTTTAAGTAGGGTTTAGCTGTATACAATTCATTAATAAACACCTGAATTAACTAATCAAGGTCTCCTTGACTGTTTTCTAAACATGTCTTAAGACCCCTGTATTATGTCTTACTCACTAGCACACATGGCCTTAGACACTATTTTTTTCCAAACGTAAGATTGGTTAGCCACTTCCCTGTGAACAGCAAGCCCCAGAGTCCTGCTGAGGTTTCTAGTGAGAGGGAAGATATAATGTCTGGCACTGGTGTCGTTGTGCTGAGTCACGCCATTGCTAACACAAACTTGCAACTCGGCATGTGCCTATCACCTGCACCCTGCTGCTAGCAAGACAATTTGCAGCTAAAATGACATCCTGCGCAAAGATCCTGCTGGCAGTGCCCCAACATCGCCTCCAATTTCTCTCACCTCTTTCTCCAGTACCACATACGAATAACACTTAGAACTATCACTTGTGGTTTGAGCTTGCAATTTCACCAAGCTGTCTTCCACAACTCTGTGGTGCAAATCACACCGTGTGCAGCTCCGTTTTATGGCAGCCATGGGGTTTGGCGTTGAGATTTTGTTTTAGTTGTGTCCTAAAGTACTTAAACTAGAATTCATTTATAATATCTCTTAGGGTTTTTCGCTGTGGGGAATGGCAGAAGTAAAATGGCTCTCTGGTACAGTAAGGTCTACAATTTGACACCATTTTCACTTTGATAATAACAGCTATTGACATTTAGTGAATGTAGCAGGTCATTGAATCTGAGATCGGGTTAGCGGATGTTCTTCTGCAATGTGTCTGTGGTCTAAACTCCTCCATGAGCTGAACTGATCATTTATGGAATCTGGCTGCCATGGCAACAGCAGCGAGTGGGGTGGCTGCATGGCCCCTATGTAAACAACTGAGGTGGTCATGTGAGAGGGAGTGACATCAGCAGCACACTGACCTTGGGAGATAAAGGAAGAGTATTTTGACTGGATGCTGAGAGGGGTGAGGAGGGCAGGTGGCTTACCTCTCTTGGCAATTTATGTGCTGAGGACACAAGCCAAGGGTGGCAAAACAATTGCATTCAAAGCAAACTAAATTTGGAGTGGCCTCAAATATGCCCACACATGTGACTAGAGGATATCCAAACACATGGAAATTCTGGGCCGTTTACCAAAAACTCCTCAAACACAAGTTAACACACATTCACATGATGCAATGGGACTGTACTACAGTATTACCACAGTTAACTTATTATTACATATTACTGGATGACTTACCAATTCGATCAAGGCGGTCAATGGCTACTGTCTCAAATGCTCTCCTCATCATGGGGTACTCCTCCAGTACTTCATTGAAGTTGTCCACAGAGAGGGAGTACAGTCTGCAGTAGGTGTCTGCCCGCACACTGGCAGTTCGTCTTCCACGGGTCAACAGACAGATCTCTGAAAATGAACAGAAAATGTCATGGTTGTGATTTGATTGTTGTCATAAATGGGAGGGTAAGTAGTACATAAGAGCAAAGGGTATTTACTGAGGTCAGAGCAAGCTCTAAGTGTGTGGGACTTGAGCTCCAAGTGGGCTGTACAAACCTGGAGTTTATATTTATTTAATGTCTTGTACATGACAGAGTCGAATATTGTGCTTTATAAAGGTCTACAACTACCCCAACCCTAAACCTGACCTCACAGTAACCTGTTCGGTTTTATGAATGTCTACACCCACCCCAACCCTAAACCTGACCTCACAGTAACCTATTGTGTTTTAGGAATGTCTACGCCTACCCCAAACCCAAACCTTAAAGTAACCTGATGTGTTTTGTTAATATCCACTCCACCTAAACACACCCTAATTGTGGCATAAGTCCCTCCCACTTGGAGGTCACCAAACCTACTTTTAGTGTAATCCCTCCCTCTTGGAGGTATCCAGGCTGCAGTGATACCTACTTGACATAAGATCCCTGAGACACGGAGGGCCTACAGTCAAGTCTGAAGGGGTTAGGGGGGATTTCTATCGAATACTGGCTGTATCTGATAGGGAAAACCCCAGTTGTAAATCAGCCAACAATGATATATTGGTTTTAATTAATTATTGATAGATATTTAGTACTTGTTAAGCTGGGAGACTAGCAAAACTACCAAAAGCTGCTTGTCCCTAAGAGGAAAAAGCCTTTGCTTTTTCGCAAAGCCAAGATGGGTTTTTGGTGGTTGTTGGTTTTAGATAGGTCTTCAGTACTTAGGCACCTAGCTAACAAAGACTTGACCATGCTAGAAGACCAAACTCAATCAAATTTCAATAGTTTAAGGGCCTACTCACACTATGCTATCCGAACCGTGCTCTGGCCCGTTTCCCGGATCGTTTGAGAAGTGTGAGTGCGCTGAATCGGGCTCAGGCACGGTTCACTTGAAGAAACTGAAAGCGAGACGTGAGTTTCAATGGACTGTTTCATATGCGCTTATTAATCACTCTTGCTGCTCAATGAACGCAAACTGTCGTAGATTATTAAAGACGCAAAACTCCCACGTCATGAAAGCTCTGCACCTTCAGCAAACCTCCTAATACCTGCAGCATGAGGACTTTATGATTGTTTTTGAGCGTCAAAAGTGGCTGACCTGTTTGGCAAAATATTTGACTGCGTGTCACTGCATATAAAACGACTTAAACGACGATATAACTGAACAAATGTCCACTGTGCTAAGCAAGCTGCGCTTCTGACCAGCGAATCATCGATGACGTAAGCGTGCCCAGGCCTGAATGTAATGTGAGTGCGGGCCATCGGGGGAGACAGGAGAGGGGACAAGCGTGCTTTGGCTCGGTTTAAAGCAGCTGTACATAGTGAGAGTACGCCATAAGCAGCTTATTAGGCACTTTAGTTTTAGCTGGTTTGCTTGTCTAAAAGGATGACCAATAGAAATCAAAAAACCCTCTAAAACCTTCAAAAAAAAAAAAAACCTGATTAGCATTGCTTGACTAGCAGCCTAGCTTGACCACAATATGATGTAAGTAGATGTAGTGCAATAGTGTTCACCAATTTCAAACATCCAACATAAACTTAACAGTTGTGGTTTTTGGTCCCACTTTCTCTCTTTGGTCACTTTGTTCGTTAAAGACCAAATTACCAAACCTGGAGCTAAAGTATGAAAAGCTAACAGTAGAGGACCTGCCAGTTCCTGTCTGCAGACTTGTATCAGCATTTTCGAGAGGTAAGATCCTGTCACTGACTGAGAGGGCTTAACACACACACACACACACACAGCTCAGCATTTGGGATCTACCCAGTTGAAAATGTGGCCACACTTCAAAGTGAATATTGGCACGGTTCAATTTCATTGAAGTTGCTGTGCCCATCATTCCCCATAGAGTGCATAGAACTGAACTGAAGATTGAAGAGGAAGTTGCCTGTCATAAAAAAATCAATATATCTTCAATTCTTGGTAACACTTGCAGGTCAATACGAGCCTTTAAGATAAATATTTAAAAAAAACTCAACCTTTAGTTCCTTGAACTGATTCATATTGCATGTTCAGTTAAAATCGATCCCATTTCAGAACCATTAACAACTTTTGCTGGTTTGACATCCTAGAGTTGAGTGTCTCATTTATAATTGCATTGAGAAATTTGCAGTCATTAAAATTAGAATTTGCATGACCAAGAGTTTTTTAAGGCATCAAAAGAATTCAATTATGTTCAATTTGGTCAACAGCAAAGTAGCTTCAATTATAAATGAGTCAAGTTGTAGTTGTTCTTTAATCATCTTAATGCTAATAACATTGGACTGCTGCTCTATTTGTATGCAAATATGACTAAAATGCCACGCCATTACACCACTGAAACTTTGAATGAAGGATTTTTTTAATGTTTTCCTGGAAAAATAAAAATAAGAAAGTTGTTTTTGCACTGATTTTTTTTTTTACCATTAAAATGTGTATAATTTAATTAAATATTTTATAGGATTTCTTCTTCCTCTGGTGCTCAGACTGTTTCTAGCCCAGTTTCATTCGGCCTTTGAAGTTTTTTGGCCATGTCTTGTTGACAGGCCTTTGTAGAGTTGGCACATTACAGGCACTTGATAAATACTGCATGTGATATTCTGTCAAATTATAGTTCTCAAAAACTGCACAGTATTGACTAGTAGCTATAATAATGATTAAATATCTTTTGATATATGAATCTGAATCCCATCTTTTGCGCCAGCAGACCTGCCAGAATGTCAGATTTGTACCTCTAATAATAAACTGCAAAAACAGCCGTCTGCCAAAAATCACATTTTCACAACATGCCCAGTTTGACTTGACGTATCACAGCGTGCAAAACTGAACTGTCAGATGTTTGACGAAGTGCCTCCTTTTACCACAAGTGTGGAGATCAAATTTAGCGCCGGTTTACAGTTGTTAAATACAGAACGTGCAAAACATCCATGATACCTTTTTTTTTTTTTTTACAGAAATCAGGTCAAACTGCAGGTATTCATTCACATTAAACTTTGATTATCTGCATGCACCTACACATGCTTAATGTATCATTCATGATATTTAAAGCTCAGTCGAGGAGATTAATGATGATTTCTCATTTCTATAAGCTGCTAAGAAGCATGTCTGTTAAACATACTTAATATATCCAGCTTATGAACACAGCTAAAAGCTGCATGCTCACTTAAATCGAATTTATTAGGTAGCATCTACAGTGGCTTATGCTATTAAACAAATCAAATAGCCAAGCTGTTTTTCATGGTAACTTAAACTGATAAGTTATTTGATAATATACAGTATATAAATCGAAGAATTGTGTTATGATTGATGATTGTCTCTTCTAATTGCTTATGTATTTACTAGCTTGCTTACAATTAATTATTAAAACTGTTGTTTAAAAATGAGTTAGAAAAAAATCCCTCCGTTAAATAACACTTTGGAAAAATAAAATATTAGTAAAAATTTCACATGAGGGCTAATCATTTTGTTTTCAACTGTATATATAATTTATCTATTTATATAAAATTAATATTTAAGAAATTAAAAAAAAGAAACACAATTATTTATATAAACTCTTCAACTTATTTAAAACATCATTCATTCATTTATTCATTTTATTTTCGGCTTAGTCCCTTTATTAATCGGGGGTCACCGCAGCAGAATGAACCGCCAACTTATCCAGCACGGCCCTTAACACAGTGGATGCCCTTCCAGCTGCAACCCATCACAGGGGAACATCCATTCACACTCATACACTACGGACAATTTAGCTTACCCAATTCATCTGTCCTGCATGTCTTTGGACTTGTGAGGGAAACCGGAGCACCCGGAGGAAACCAACGCGAACGCAGGGAGAACATGCAAACTCCACACAGAAATTCCAACTGACCCAGTCGGGGCTCGAACCAGCGACTAACTAAATAACTAACTAAATGTACATTATTCTGCTTATTATATGGCTATTTGCCACAAAATGTACCAATGAGACAAAAAAGTTACAATAATATATTAAGTATTTCATGAAACATAATGCTGACAAGAACAAAGGCTGAATGCAGCCTACACTAACCTACTAACTATTGCTTAGTTGCAAAATGGCGCTAAACATGACGGATAATATGGATGTGTTTAAATGAAATGTATTCACTGACAGTCAAGATGACTCCTGAAGTAACCGGATGACTCTGTGTTGTTAGTTTCAGCAGTTATCTGAGCATAACATACCTTGCAATGTCATAGTTGACCAAACAGAATCAAGTATTCCAAAGAGCTGTGTATGATGTACCCCATACACATCACAAAAGGCTTTTTTTTTCTTTGCCTTAAGTTACTGAAACGTTTGTTTTGTGTTCTAATTACTAGGAAGGAAAGATCGTGTTAAATTACACCATCAACAAAGAGCATCAAAACAACATGTTATCTGAATTTCCCGGTAAAATGTACAGAAACTGAAAGATAAGATTAAACAAACTCAAAGCTCGATCTTGGGATTTAAAATCTGCCTGAAATGAAAATTTACAATCTTTATTTTGCTAGCTCACATTGTTATTCTTAAGGTGAATAATTTACCCATGGAAGTCAATCCACTGGAAAACACTGTTTGTTTTGGTAATCTTCAATGAAAGGCTGACCATTTGCTTTTATGTTTGGAGTGGCGGTTCTTCTGTTGACATCAACCCGAGGGCTTCCATAGCGACTGCATATTAATAACAATAGTTTATCATCAGCATACTGAGATAAAAGTCTCTTCAACGTTCACTTTACACAGACTTTAAGGATCAATATCATTTCATTAAGTAAACATATTTAAAACAAGAATTAACTGCTTAAAACAACAAAGGATTTGTTTAAAACAAAAAATACTGAACCAAAAGTCTAAATCATATCTTGGACAAAAGTAGCTGAAATCTTCATTCATATTTAAGTATTTCAATTCCATTCAACTCCCTCCAAGCATGGAAGTAAATGGTCAGACTTTCTATGACCTAACAAAATAGAAACCAACAGTTGATGGTAACCATTGACCTCCATAGTATGAAAAATAACTATCATGGAAGTCACGGATTACCATCAGCGGTTTGCATACTAGCTTTTCTCCAAATGTCTTACAATGTTGGAACCAGTTGAAGGGTGAGTAAATGATTACAGAATTTACATTTTTGGTCAGGGGTGTCCAAACTTGGGCTGGTGTCCCGCATAGTTTAGCTATAACTTCCCTCAACACACCTGCCTGGAAGTTTTTGTATATAAAGAAATAGCTTGATTAGCTGGTTCAGGTGTGTTTATTGGAGTTGGAACTAAAATAAGCAGGACACTGGTCCTCCAGGACTGAGATTGAGCACCCCTGTTTTTGATGGTAATCAGTATAAAGTATCATGACAAATCAGTCTGGAATTAATTGTTTTTGGCCAGGGAATCTCTCTATTCGACAGCAAAGATTTCTGCTCCACTAATTAGGTGTTATTAATTGGCCCTATTTGTTCTTTATCAGCTTTCTTTCTTCAGTGCCGCTGGCTTCTGGTATATTCTCTGTCTTGTGAACTCTGCTCTTCGCCCCTCACAGACTGTGGCCTAAAGACTCTGGCTTTTTTCTGGATCACCAACGCAAGCCCCTCGAAGGGGACGGCGTCTTAAATGGGACAAAGCCCGCTGGAGGGAGGAACTGAGGAGTCATGTTCAAATGTCAGCGGTATTTACCACTGTACTCACAGTGCAAAACCAGCTGCTAGGGTGTTTAACTATACATACTATTCCATAATATGAGACTGTACACACAGTTCTAGTTTATAATGCTTACAGTTGGAACACAAAGCAGTCAATGTTTTTTCTTGGTCTTTGTTTACAAAAATCCCACAGGAATGTGATTAATTTGCTACTGATCCCGTTGGAGTGAAATGATGAATAAAATTAATGTTTTTACTGAATATTTTGCAATATATTATTTTAAATAGTTTTGTGTGAGTTTTATTTTGAATTTTGTTTCTAATTCTTAGAATTTGACATTTTTAGTAAAACTATTTGCAATATTATTAACAGTTTTTATTTATTTTATTAGTAAATGTCAAATTGTAAAACTTACACAAAAATAAGTTCCTCATGAATTGCATTTATTTACATCAATTCTTGACTTTTATTTTGAAGTTGTTTTTAATATGTAGTTTCCAGACATGTCACAGTTTTGATTGTAAATAATTTACAATATCATTTAACTTTAGATATCATTATTTTATTATTATGAATAATATATTAGATATAAAATGAGTTTTTGGTCTTTAGGGGACTTTTATTTAGAATTTCGCCTATACCCAGTTGATTCACAAAAAACAGCAAACTAAACTTTATACTATATTTTCCTGTAATTATTACTCGTTTATTTTACAAATAATAATTTACAATTTAATTTATTTATCTTTTTAAACAGGAAATTAACTAGTAAATTACTGCATTCTCTACGTTTTTTTCCTATGGTGCGTTTTTATTATATTTATTTATTTAATTTTATTATAACATTTAATATTTACTAACAGTATGTCACAAGTTTCAAAGCTGTAAAAGAGCTACATTCAGCTGTATTTTATCTGTTAGAAATTGAAATCTTCATGAAGCATATGATCCAAATGAGCATATTTTTGATCTTACCCCCAAAATAGGAGCCGTCAGAGAGCTTCATGCCAATATTCCCTTTGGTCAGGACACTGACTACGCCGTGCTGAATAAAGTACATCTTTTTGCCGATGGTTCCCTCACGAATGATGTAATCTCCTGGTTGGAAGACCTCGAAGCGCAGCTTGGTTAGCATTGCTGTCACAAAGTTTGGATCTGCGTTGGCGAACAGCGGCATGGACGCCACCAGCTTCCGGCAGTTGAAGTTGACTATTTCCTGAAGGTACAAAAGTTAGTTTATTGTCAAATTGGAGATGAGTAAAGAATTTCTGTAGGATTTTCTAGTACCTCTCGTAATGGTTCGTTCAGTTCTTCCAAAATGCTTTCCTCGTCGAACATCTTTCCCTGGTATCTGTGCTCATAATAGTCATGGATCTTCTGCCGGAAGTCGGCCGGAAGTTTGTGGAAAGACATGTACTGCTCAACTTGCTTGTACTGGAATGAAAAAAGGAACAAAAAAAAGATGTTATGGGACACACTTTTGACTCAAAATATCTAAGCAGCCAGTCGGTCAGCCATTTTAATCCCACCTGGCCTCTTTTGTGGTGATGTGATATGCTGACAGGGATCACTGTATACACATGAAAGTAAATAATTAATCATCCAGGCTTGTTTTCTTGTATAGGCGTTCCTGCTATTTTAGGAAACATCAAGAGAAGTTATTTATGGTGATCCACTAAAGTGCATATGATAATGGGATGTTCTGGAAGCAGAAAGAGTTTGTGGAAATGGATGACAAGCCGTATTCGTAGCACAGCATCATGTAGTTGACTGTCTCTACATCTGCTTTCTGATTTGTTACAGAATTTTCTCTATGTATGTTGTGTAGAATCTGGTTTATATCAAAAGAGCAAATGCTAAAATTATGGATGTTTCACAAATGTATCACTGATTAGCTATATATCATCTACCATTAGTTTTTCTGTTTACAAAATCAGTTTTGTCCCAGTACTCGAGTGAATATATTAAGTTGGTAGCAAAATATAATAGGTTAAAGGCATAGTTCACCCTAAAATGAAGGTTTTTATCATAATTTGCTTAGCCCTTGAGTTGTTTGAGTTTCTGTAGCACACAAAAGATATTTGAAGAAAGCTCTAACCACTGAGTGTCATAGTAGGGAAAACAAATACTATGGAAGTCATGGCTAGGGGTTTTTAGCTTGCATCAAAATGTATTGTTTTGTGTCCAACAGAAGAAATAAACTCAAGCAGGTTTGGAACAACTGTAGGATAAGGTAATGATGATAAATAATCTTTATTTTGGGGTGAACTATTCCTTCAAAGGGCCATGAAAGCCCCCTGTATCAGCAGGGTGTTTTCACACCTCAAGTTTACAAATGTCAGGAAAGGGGATGAGTTCTACTTTGTTTAGCTGGGAGTGTTGAGTGGCGAAAGATTCAAGAGTTTGCATGAAAAAGAGGTTCAATTCGAGCAAGCAGTGATTTTTTTTTACTGAGGCAAAACAAACACAGACGTAGAGGAGAAAGACAGTAACTACATTTACATGGACATCAGTTATCAAATTATTTGGCAACTTATTAATTTGTCAACTTTAACTGCAGTTTAACACTTCCACTTTCATTCGGGAACATTTCATGCATGCTGACAAACAAGATAATGGATGCAAGGAACTGCTGGAAGAGTGATTATTTAATGGAGTGTATGATACCGAACAGTGAATGGGAAAAAAAAAACACACATTTCTCTGTTAATTAGCAATTACAGCGGATCTTTCTGCCCATAATATTGTAATGATATTAACGTACTGTAAACTTAGTAACTAAATCATTTTGACTAAGGTGTGTCTTTACAAAGTGAAAGAGTACTGCTGACAATACTAACTAACTTTGCCTCTGAAGAAACATAAACAAACCTCATTGATCGTACACTTACCAAAATCTATAGAGACAGGACAATCAACACGTACTGGGGCTGTGTCTTTTTTAAAAGGAGACAAGTAGCAAATCCGGACCATTTCCAGATGTGAAAAGCTCTCAAGTAAAAAAAAATGTTTCTTACAAACATTTTTTGTTGCATGTTAGCAGACCACTGTAGTCCAACTGCACTCTCATAGCGGAAAAATAAAAACAAAACCTTCGCTGTGGCACCTTTATAAATGCAACACTGACAATCCATGTCTTCGAACAATTCTTCTACTTCTACTTGTTTTAATTACGGTTGGCAACCCAATGTGTCGTCGATCTGCCGTCTGAACATTGTAACACGTAAAAACAGTCTTCGAAGCTATCATGCATATTAATGCCATTGCACCTCAATCACAATAAAGTGTGCTGGTTGGTTCGAACCAAGTCTATCTATTGAATTAATGATGAAAGCTCAAAGACGTCACATTATACTGGCCGGCACAGACAGCCAGTCTACACTCTGGAGTTTACACAAGGATCTAATCATCATGAAGTAGCTTCAAAATTTCTATGCAAACCGGAAGAAAAAATTAGCTTGAAACTATTTCAACAACCAATTTCCACTTTTTAGTGAAATATATGTGCTCTTATAGTGTTTTAAGCAACATTGGACCTATTTATGACTGTCAACATCTCACAAAATGTGTTTTGGTGTTTCGTGACCGTTTAACAAGACTAAAAATATGTTAACATTTGAAAATCCCACCTCATGACTTTGCGAAGCAGGGGCTCATGTTAACAGTTTCTGTGTTGAATAGAGGAACGCAGAGGTTAGAGAGTGTTAATACCAGCAGCATACGACACATCACTGCAGCAGTTTCTCACACACATACTGAGGAGCATTACTATCAGTGACAGTCTTGATTTCCTGTCTCTACATAAGATGCCTATATGACAGGCAGCAAATAATAAAAGTGGACTAAATAAATCAACAGATACTAAGAGCACTGAGCTAAGACTAATATACAGAGATAGATAGACAAGACAGACAGACAGACAGACAGACAGACAGACAGACAGACAGACAGACAGACAGACAGACAGACAGATAGATAGATAGATAGATAGATAGATAGATAGATAGATAGATAGATAGATAGATAGATAGATAGATAGATAGATATTTAAAACAGCAATTCTATGTAGACTAGCATAGATGCTAAGGCACCATTTACAAAGGTCCATTTTACTTTACAACACCTACGTTTTGTTAGTTACATCTTCCATCCATACTACTCCAGCATCTTCCACCCTCGACGACAAAGCATAAATCACATCTAAATTTTCACAATACCATATAACAAGACTCAGCACGGATGTGTGTGTGTGTGTGTGTGTGTGTGTGTGCACGCTGTTGAAATAGTCCTGTAATCAGTCAATGAGCAGCTTTAGCTGTGTGTTTGCAATCAGACAGGGTTAGGAACCGGTGTGTGTGTGCAGTGCATGACTGGACCTTGTAGTCCATATAATGGTGGATTTATTGTTCAATGCAATCTGTGCGTAGCTCATAACACATACCTTGCATGTAGCTGATGCTTTTTGGGCAGTTATACTTTTGCATTCGGTTGCAATAACACTTCAAAATAATAGTAAGCAATAGTAAGCAGTGGGGTTTCTAAGTTTCACTGTGTCATGTGTCTTTGCCTGTGCCTTGAGTTTACACTGGAAATGCATGCAATGCTACTTTAGAAGTAGCTCATATTCATCCAGTGAAGAAAGTGGCAGAAACAATGTTCAACAACTTTTTTATACAAGTTTTCACCTTTATCTGAATTGGACAGTGGAGATTACAGACAGGAAAGCATGGGAAGCAGAGAAAAGGAAAGGATCGACAAAGGATCCTTGAGCTTGGAATCGAACTTGGGTCACCCCGTGAACACTGTAGTGCTATGTGTCGACAACGTGTTCAACAATCCATCTGAAGCTCCTCCACTGGACTCAAGACTTGTCATCACATGCAGTAGCATTTTTGAAAGTTACCCATCAAAGTACGGCAAAGGGTATACAACCTACCATGTGGGCTCAAAACAGAAGTATATATTGCCCTCAATGGTACTAATTAGCTGATTAACTTGTTCAGGTGTGTTTGATTAGGGTTAAAGCTAATCTCTGCAGGACCCTCCTAAACCAAGGCTGCATCCGAAATTGCCTACAACTCATTAGGTACTGCAATTAAATTTGACCAATAGAAAAGTACTTTCAACACATTATGAATGTGAGTAGTTTGAGTGTAACTTGGATGCACTACATCCACCATTTTGTTATAATCACATGACCTACCGGCGTCAGCTGCGTCACTCCCATTCATGAATTCTCTCACGATGCCTCATAGGATAGTGCAGCGTCCATCAGATGCACACTTCGAAATCTCGCCGAAAGTAGTAGGTCATCCAGGTACTTCTTGCATATTGTTTTTTGAATTCTATGAATTCGGACATACTACGCGGCTAGCATACTGTTTTTAGCGTACCATATAGTATGGAATTATGCGATTTCGGACACAGCCCAAGTGTGCAGATCCCTGAACTAGACTGCCAGACAGACAGTTCCTCAGGTGCTGTTGGCTTTTTAAGTGTTGTGAGGTGAAGCTGAGTTTAAGGTTATTTTTGATGGCACTGAAGCAGTCAAGACCTCACATTCCATCAAACACTTATTACTAGGCAGGGAGGCTATTTACAGTAGAGTGGTCTGCTAAATCTGAACCTTGTGTCACAATATTCCTGAAGAAGCGTTAAATGCGAAACAGTCTCCTGTGGCCTCTCAGACCTAATATTCCAGCATAACTCAAGCATAGTGGGTCATGTGCACACCAGGATAATGACATGGGGGGAAGGGTGATGCTCCTTAGTGACCTCCCAGCTGGATGGATGGTGTTGGTTGGAGAAGGCATGTGGATAATGACTGTCGGTGTGTGAGTGGTGACATATGCACGACTTGACAAGTCTTGGGTCGATCCCCGAGCTACTAACAGGGTGCAGTCTGTCGCGCTTGTTAGTGACAGGTGCTGTCTGTTTTACAGGCCACTGAAGGGGGAGATTCTGTAAGTACTTTTGCTAATTATTGGTGTATGCTTCGGGTGCCTAAACTAAGTCCTGGGCAGCTGGTGTACTGCAAAGTTTAGCTGCAACTTGCCTCAAAACACCTCCTCTGATGTTTCTAGAAAGCCTAGTTAGAGCTTGATTAGCTAGCCTAGGTGTGTCTAATTGGGGTTGGATCTAAAATTTGCACTGGCCCTCTAGGACTGGGCACTTCTGGTTTATGCTGAAGAATTAATTACTTAAATAATCAAGTTATCATAACTCGTTCTCTAATTTTAATCTCTACTGTACTTCAAGCGAAATTGAAGAATAAATTTGTGGCAGAGTTCAAAACAGCTTACCAAAGTGAGCCCTAAAAAAAGTCTACGGATAAAGACCTTCAAAATACCATTGGTCTACGATGGCCATTACATAATATTAAGGTGTGCTTAGTGGCTCTGTCTTCATTGACTTGAAAATCTGCTCCAGTTCAT